CAGTGGCTCCAAGTCCATGACCATGTTCATTAGAAGCACTGCCAGCACCGCCTCCATATTCCCGGTCATGCTTTTGAATCACAGCACTTTCCTGGCACATTTTAAAATCATGGTTATCTACTTTGTGGCTGACTCGTTTTGCTTCCTTTGAAAATAGATATCAATAGATATGTCATCTGCTTTTAATTCCAGTTCACATACTCTGGCCTTTGTGATGGTTGCATTTATTTAAATTCATAATTTAAGTAAGAAAAAGTAAATACTCAATGTACAAGCAAATTAAAATGGGGAAAGGTCTCAAGTGTTCTTACATTCTCAAAAATAAACCAAATAATTTTCTTGAAATAAACAGTAAAGGATAAGGATTTTGTAATTGACCACCTTATACCATCCCTCCTTCACCACTCTTCATTCCCAGCTTCTTGAATCTCAGTAGATGAGTCATAGAATTTTCAGCCCTTCTGTAGAGGGATCATGTATTTTAAATGCTAAACTTCCAAATTTTATAAAATGATTGGCACTTTTTAGGTGCAAATCATATATATGTTAACTTAAAAAAATCTGCTTGAGCCAATTAGTTACCAAGAAAGAAAGTGTGCTTTCTTCCTCCTGACTCACGTTTCTATATTTGCTCCCTAAGTGTGCTTCTCATCCATATTTAAGATGGCAATTGCCTTATGGGAAACTTTTATTTTTGTTTTACCACTTCATTCTGGGGAATTATTGCCTGAATCCTAATTCTGATGCTTTCGTACTCCACCCTGGTAGGTACTCACAAAGGAAATATGCACATTTTTGTAAAAATAATAGTTTTCTATTTTCACACTTCCTCAGATCCAATCTATTGATGAAGGATAAAGAAATCAAATTCCTATTCTGGAAAAGGGTGGAAAAAAATCTCTGAGGCTTTCTTCACTTAGGAACTTGGAAAAATATTGAAGAGTTCAATGTTGCACAAAAAACGGAAATGGAATTGAAAGACTGAAAGGTGGAATCAGATGAACACAACTACATATTGAGAGGCATTTCGTGGAATGATAAAGAGCTTCTGACTATAAAGCAACTCATGCCGGAACTGGCTGTGCTGGGGTATTACGGTTGTGACAGTTATTCTCTGAAAACCCCATTCTTTTGTGGTACTTGAAATGTTTAGACAATTTATTAAAACTGTATATTCAAAGACAACTTTCATATTTCTCTCAACGTGCATGCATGTCTATTGTATGGTAAGATAATATATAGTCAGTGGTGTTACCCTCTCCTTCCACTATTTTACATAATTTTGCTGTACTGTTCATAGAATAAAGTGAGATTCTGCCAGAGGTACATCACTGGACAAAATAATCATCTAATTCTTGGTAACTGATTACATTTCTGTTAAAGTCCTGTGATCATTCAAGAAAACAATTTAGTAATATTGAAAAAAAAATTATGTGCTAAAAATTAGAAGAAAAGCCTGAAGTATATCAGAGCTCTAGAGTGAGAGTAATAGAATGTTGATATTTTGTTAGGTAAAGTCATATGTGTGAAGACAATTCTGTAGTTCTTTTCTCACCCAACTTCCAACACAAGCTCAGATCTACAGTTGTTCATGATTTTTTCCCTTTAACTAGAAACTTGTGTTATTAATACAAGTGATCATAGGACAGAGCCCTTGCCTTTGTCTTTTCTTCCCCTTTATTACTTTTAGCCTCAGTGAAGATTTATTTTTTTACCAACACTCAAGTCCTGGCATTTCCATGAATTTTTCATTTTCACTTTGAAGTATTTTTCTAATATTGTGATGCTGTAAGAGAAGGGACACACTTGTGTAAAAAATGTGATTAACAACTATGTTCAAAGTACTATATTGTGGGAAAAAGAAGAAAACAATAGTGACCTTTGAAAAGGCTTACCTTTCTTTCGTTACATTTCTATCAGTATTACCCATGTTTTTCTAACTTATAAGCACGTGTGGAAACTAGACAATTAATGTATTTTGGCTCCACATTTAGTGATATATTTGATGGGGAAAACATGTCAAATTTCATTGCAAGAAACAGATCTTTACAGAAGCTGGCCCATTCTAATAACTTTTAAATTTCTTTCTGTTGGGTTAATAGTATTCTTTAGTTATTGCAGATGGATCAGGTCCACAATCTCCAAAACGAGTGCACAGGCGGTGAAGGCTAAATAAACATAGGCAAATGGACCGATTTCAGGACTCTAGAAGGGTCAAATCCCTCTCACAGAATTCAAGATTCTCTCAGGACTAATACCACGACCTTCTGTGGGTGGCCTGTATTTAATTAGTATTCAGAAGAAGGGAGGGGAGAACCCAAGAAGGGCAGAAACACTCCAGGGCTTCTCCAAGTAGGGTATTAAATGAATCCACCTAGGAGTGAGATGACTGAGGCTGGAGTCTTTATCTAGTTGGGGTTGGATTCAGGTGTCCTTGGCTGTGATATTGTTTTATCCTTTGAGGCTTTCGGGCTTCATCCACTATTATAGGCCTTCGTAGGGATTAGAGACTCACAGAGGTTCACTTACTATGACTTCACTGCCTAACTCCAGCTAAGAGACCTAGGCCTTGAATAGACTCACAAGTAAACATGAAAAGCCCATTGGTTAATTTAAATCCTGCTCAGGGCTGCTTCATAGTGGTCTCCACCATCTATTTTTCTTTCTCTCTCTCTTTCTCTCTCTTTCTTTCTTTCTTTTGTCTGCCTGCTCTATTCCACTCTGCCTGGCAAGTGCAGACAGGGAGGGATTTTTGCTGTTTGGAATGTAGTCAGCCATTGCTTCTACATTCTGTATTTGTCCGTATAACACAGTGAATCTTATACAAGCCAAAGGTGGTGTCTAGACAGCTACCATTAGAATATAATTTGCAAGAGCATATTTGCTCATTATTGATTTTGATTAGCTCATTTTTCTCTGACACTGGTGGGATGAACATTTATTTTAAGTACTCTGGTTAGTCTTGAAAATTTTGAATTCTAGAGAGAAGTAATTAAGGAGCAGAATAAATTCACACCACACTGAAATCATTTTAAGATCAAGCAAGTAAGTAAAAGAGGAAAAGGAATTGTTATTTGTGAACAAAAGTACTACACAATTTTTCCACTGGCAGTTATAGCTAATTTATGATGATTGGCCAAAAATGTAGACTGTAGTGATTTTAATATCAATTTTAATGTTACAATGTGTTTCACAGAGAAAACATAATGAATATAGGTAGAATTCTCTCCTCTTCAGTTAGATGTCCCTTATGGATCCATGAAAATATCAACAACATTCTTTCTCTTGCACACTGAAACAAAATAGTTTGTATTTTTGGAGTAATAAAAATACTGAGTTAATGAATTCTGAAACAAACCTAAAGGTGAGAAAATTAAGTGATGACTCTTTCAAAACTGGCAGGCTTTAATAAGACCTCTTTATTCTTTTTTTTCCTAATTTGACTTTAACATAGAAATAACCCCTCTGCTGAATGTAAACCATTTGCTTCCACTTTAACAGTGTAGTGACAATCACTGTTCAGTATACTAAAACATGAGTGACTTTGCTCTTGTACCACAGAAATACAGAGATAGCAAAGACAATATCCTCTACTTAACTTTTCCAAAAGCGTATAGACAATTAATAGCATAACTGACTTCTAAAGAAGAGAATCCCTTCACTGAGTTTATATATTTAAGTTGTTGAATTCATTTATTTGTTATGGCCCAGTAGATATACAATGATGGCAAAACAAAATTTTGAAGAGACTGGCCACAAAATTTAGTATTAACTAGCTATTCTTCAGAAGTAAGTAAATGATTAAATATTTAATGATAATCATAATGCATTCAAGATTTACATTTTAATATCTAGTTCCTCAATTAGTAATTAATAAAATAGCAATCATGATAATAAAAGTTATATAGCCCAAGAGGTATTAGATGACATAGAGACAAAATATTAAAATTACTCATTTAATCAAAATAGAGGAAACAAAGAAGTAACATAAAAGGCAAATGCTTTGAGAAGAAGCAAGAAAATGTGTAAAGTAGGAAAATATCGTCAACTGCCCTATTTATTTAATTATTCTTTCTTTTCCCTTATAATTTCATCTAAATGGAACACACAGGTATACGGCAGGCCAGAAATAAAATACTAGTAAATTTAAAAGAATGATAAGTTGCTTATCTGCTCTTTATGGTTTAGTACAGATTTAATAAACTGATTTGGATTTTGGCAAACTGACAAGACTTAAATAAACAAATGGTATGATTAGAAGATGTAATTATTGAGACTTTTTGACAAACCAGTATATTTTAGATTTTGCTAATGATATCTTTCATGAAATCCATAGAGGAGAAAAATTGCAGAATTTCAATATATAATTTATGAATGGTTTTCCATGTGTCAAAATATTTAGCTACAGATGTGTTGCCTTGCTATCATGAAATATTCTAATCAGTATATTCTGCTACATATTTTCTGGAAAAGTCTTTGGCCATCTTACCATTTCACAGCTATGAAGGCCTTAATGTGGTTTCTAGCATGGTGGCCTCCAACTAAATTCGAGCTTGAATGAAACGAAAATTCTTTTCTAAATCCACATGAAATGTTTTGCTTAATTATAACACGGATGTGGAAAATTGCTCTTATGAAGAAAATACCAATGCTTGAAGACGCCAGTGCCGTTGGCCGCCCCAGGTGGATGACATGCAGTCACATACAATGAGCCACAATTAGAGAGAGACATAAACCCAAACCTCCCGTGAGCCAGAACCCTAGCTTGTTTGACTAAAGAGACATCTTAGAATTTATTTTATTCAGTTTTATTATGTTCTCTTAAAGCACTGAGTGACACGATATGATTGCTCCTTCTGAAACATATTTTAAAGAGCACATATGTTTTTCTATGTTCTATGTTTCAAGATCTAAATTTCATAGTACATGAATATAATTTTGAACTAGAATATGATGTAAAAGTCTGTTCCTGAAAAATAACCATTTATGTGAGATGCACTATAGGCAAAAGGAAGGAGGGAAAGGCATCACATTTACATAGCAGAAAGGGCAAATGGGAAGATTTCAAAGAATGTATTTAGGAGTTTTTGTAGATCAACAAAATGAAGGCAGTGAAGTTGAGCAAAGAGAAGAAAGAGAGGAGAGAGGGAGAGAGAGAATATGAAAATGAAACTGTGAAGGGAAAATAATACACAGATGTAGGATACCTAGGGTTTTAACCAAATGAATGTACTCGAGTTACTTCTCTCTGACAAAATTAGAGTCTGGGTCAAGGCAGCCTTAAAGCACTTCTCCTTGTCTTTGTAATAGAAACCACATTTGGCAGTAATAAAATTAAAGAGCAAAATACCGTACTACAAGCACACAAAAGAAAAGTGCAATTTCAGCAATGGCTAACAATGAAAGAATTAGTTCCACCTTAAAACAAGACATAAAGAATAGTTGGGAGGTGATTTTCCATAAAAACATCATCCTATAGGGGAGAAATACAACCTGTGTTAACACACATGTTGACTCGAATGTGTGGGCCACGGGATGTCTTCCAAATCCTTTGATGCCCTTATTTCACTTGCATGATCAAAGCTTCAGTCAGTATCACGGTAATTCAGCCATTGTCAGAATATTAAAACCAGATTTTCTTTCCCAGGGTTTTCATGATTGCTTTTTAAAAGTGAAGCTTCACTGTCATATCCATTGGAGTTACAATGACAAAATATCCAATACTTGATAATTCATAGATAATAGGAATGTGTATCTCACAGTTCAGGAGGCTGAGAAGGTGAAATCAAGACAGCAATAGTTTTAGTATCTGTAGAGAACAGGTTTCTAATTCTGAATACATTTGTACTGAAGGGAAAAACGGGACAAAACATCCTCTTTTATTTACTCCTGTGACCTTCCTTAACTTTGTAGCTTAGTGAATGCTCATGGGTTTCCTTATTTATTTTGTGTTTAATTTGTCTAATTTTGCTATTAATAGTATAACTACAATTAAGGCAGTTGACCTGATGTTTTCTGCTTATTTTTTTTCTGAACAATATTTTTGTACATTTGTGCTACATTCCTCCTTCCATGTGATAGACTTTTCCCTGAAAACCACTTCCTTCTCAATTAGAACACTGATATTAAAATATTAATAGTGCAATGATAAACTATATTATAAATAAAATTTTACATTTTTGAGTTAAAATTTATGCTAATATAATAAAATTTTAAAATTCCAGATATATGAAATGTACAGCTCAAACAATTTTTACAAAATTAAAATATCTGTGCACCTCAATTATGTTCATCTATTTTTGTGAACTTTTCCATTCTTAGGCCTTATCCTCCTCTAATATTATTATCTGATATTTGAACATTTTGTAAATGTAGTAATCTCAAAATGTACTTTTCTTGTCTAGCTTTGTTTAGATAACATGACATATTAGGTATTAAAATATTATAAATAGTAAACATGTAAAAAGTATATATACAATGAAAGGAGTCTGTGAACTTTAAAGTGGAAATTAAATTTTGTATTCTAAAGGACATTTTTCTGATCAGAGAATTCCACATGCTGGACTAATTATTGTGAGAAAGAAGTCTTATGTTTATTTTGCTTGCTTGTTTTTTTGTTTTTTTTTAGACAGGTCTGCATTATGCAGTGCAGGCTGGTCTTGAGCTCACTTTGTAGTCCAGGCTGACCTCGAACTTGCAACTATCCTCCTCCCTCAGCCTCCAGAGTGCTGGAATTACAGGGGTGAGCCACCGTGCCTGACTTTCTTATGGGTATTTTAAATATGGAGAAGTGGTAAAATATCAGTGTTTCAAAATGAGTTTTTGTGAAATTCTCTATGCTACATTGTTTTCTGAAAAACAAAGATAGCAGGTGTATGTTTTCTAAAGATAGCAGGTGTATATTCTGTAAAGGAGAAGAACCCTTTCAAATCACTTCTACCATTTCTTTTGTGATTACCCTAGAATGTGAAATGTATATTTTATAAAAATATGCTTAAGTTTTATATGAATTTAATAGCAATGATATAGAGATATAGAACTGAGATATAGAACTATTAGGGTATTATTTTTACACATATCACATATATGTTGCAATCCACATAACATGTTTTAGAGTACACTGCAATACTTGTATTGTGCTTAGACATGTCTAAAGAAAAAACAGTGATGTATATTGTAATGTGTATATTATTAACTTCGTTTATTTCAGTTTCTTTTTTTTTTTTTTTTTTTTTTTTT